AATGACCACAAGATTAGCGGACTCAACTTAAACTTTATTTACCTCGTCGTCCTTGCAGACCGTGAACAGTAACTGATCCATAGGAGAGTAGTGCAGTGAGTACTACCTACAAAAGTGGGTGGCAAGTGTAACCATGGGGATGGAGATCAAAGTTTGTGTGCAATGATTAAACGCAGGTCCTCCCAAGGACTGTGGTAAGTGTGAGGGTGTGGATGGGGAAAAGGGATGTAAGAAGGAGGCTGTGCCTCGTACATCGCAGGATACAGCGGTGAGGGAGGCGGTTGATATCGCATTCGATTGGACACTTCAAATTATTGCCAGTTAGGTGAACCTTCAGAGAAGACAGTAAATAGTTTGATACCATCCACAAATTCAATCTGCTGTAGCACTATTTCCCTCTCCAAGTCCGTTTTTCCCGTTTCCAGTCCTTCTCGTCCTCCTCCTGCTCCTCCTTCTTCTGCCTCCTGCTTCGCACTCGCTTCTCTGCTCCCCATGCAGTTAAGAGTAGTCTTGAGTGAGAGGAGAGCAACCACTGAGTGATGCAAAAGTTGTGAGGTCTACGAATGGAGGCACGAAAGCCTATTATTTGTCGTGGATGCCTCACATATTGACTTGTCTGCACTCTGAATGTCTATCGCAGTGAGTGAGGTGGCTCACATGGTGGCCTGGCAGGTGAATCTGGGGCTGCTCTGATTGGTTGCTGTGAGTGGAATGGACTCTAATATGTATCACATGGATTGTGCTAGGCAAGCATTTGCGTGACGTGGCTATGCACCAGCTCTTCTGGCTCATCATCGCATTCTCAGCTCTATGGAGTGGAGTGAGCGGAGATAGCGGTAAGGCAAATATTGTGTGATGCTGCTAGGAAAACACTTACGACATGATATCAAGGATTATGATCGCTTTCTTCAGATACGACGTTGACAACATTGGAGGTAACCAAAGTAACCAAACCGATGGAAAGTACCAAAGAGACCGAAGTGACAGAAGGCATTACAGGAAAGCCACTTCCAAAACACTTTAGATGGAGTCGTATTGGTTCTCGATCCATCCAACTTGGCTGGGATGACCACACAATTAACGGAGCCACCTTGCACTTTATTTACCTCATCGTCCAAAAGATAGGTGCCACGACTCCCCATTTCAGTGAGCAGGTAGAATTCACCGACGGATCGGTTACTGTTGACGGGTTGCAACCCGACACGGTGTACATAGTAAGACTGTCTGCATTCGCCGGTACGGAAGAACATTTGGACATTATCAGCACCATCAAGACTCTGAAGGATGGTAAGACATGTTTTATATTGTGTTCCTCTCTCACTGTAGCCATTGCTGGTTCTTCACCGTTGTTATTTCAATAGTTATCATTTTTACGAGATGCACTGACGTAAATGATTTCCATTATGTAGGAGAGGAGGATATAACAAATGGAAGCAAATCGTCCCTCACTTATTCATCCGCTGTCAACTTTGTCACCACCGCAGCCTTGCTTATATGCATGCCAGTGGTGCTTGCTTAGG